TCAGGTTTTTTTTCTGTTATTTTCTTTCTCTTATGTTCGAACAGGGGTGCTTAGATTTAGAATGGTGGTATGAAGTTTTGATTAAGTTTTATTAAAATATACTTTTGAAACCATATATAAGGAAATTGATAATGTAAATGTTTTTATTTGTCTAATGCCAACCTGAGGCAAAGGGAAGGGAGATGTGGGATTACTGCGGTGGGACCCTGAGAGTGGGTCTCTACCCTATATATCCTTGTGGTCCCACCGCAGAACCGGGGAGGGGGAGCCAGATGATCTCCACTTCCTTGGATAGATCCCCATCTGTCCCAAAACACCTCAGCAGGTGTGAGCAAATTGAAACATAAAGTAGATGCATGTATTTATACAGGGAACATTTAAATGATGATTGTTAATGTAACTGTGATATGATTATACAAGAAACTGATTATATGTTTACAATAAATAAATTGCCTCCTACCCCTTTAGAAAGCTGACCTGTAAAACGCGTCAGTCCACAGCAATGCATGCCACAGTAAAAAAATAATATATTCAAATTATATTCAGAGGAATGAACTGCACAATAAGAAAATAGGTATTCCTATGTATAAGATATCAACAGCAAAGTGTATAATGCTAATGTGGCAGCGGGAGGCAAAACTGAGGGAGAATATATTTGTGAACATTGTTTTTATTATTATGTCATATTTTTATTGAATAAATTGAGGTTGATTGTACCAACAAAAACTATGTCTGACACCTCTTAAAACCCCACAATACTAAGTATATTGTGTAACGAATACAGTATACTGCTAATAGTCATGGGATGCTTACATTTTAAAAAGGAAATAAAAGAAGTGTGTTCATGGCCTTGTTTGTAGCTGATGCTGCCCTAGCATCAGAGAAATAGTACAATCCAGTGTGTTTTCATCTACGAGTATCCATGTAATGTATGTGTCTCTACGTGTCTGAACAATGAGATCTATCTACAGGAGCTTGTGGACCACACCCTACCCATTAAACAAGAATGAACACGGTTGCTAAGCTCCATAGATTTTAGATTTAGTGAAATCGGTAATTAAATATTACCACACTGATCATAATGACAGCTGAAGGAAAACATTCAGTAGCTCTAGACAGAAGATTTAACCTCTGAAGCTTCACAGATACAGAACCAGCCCATGTGTGTCTGCATCTGCTCACTGAATTTAATTTTAAAGTCCTTTTCCACTTTTGCAGACACATTTGAGAAACCTCTACTATATGTTTGTTATGTGTTTCCATTCACAGAACATACAGAAAAATGACCAATAATTCAGATGTGTCTGTGTAGCAGGCCTTTGGAGCTTCTCCATACAATTTCAAAACGACAGGCAATTCAGGCTGTCCCCTTAGAAAGCCTAGGGACACACTGAGCTTCCACTCATTTACATTCAATGCTTCTATTGCTTGATTTTTAACGCTTTGTTAGGGCAAACAGTGTTTAAATCTAGTTTATAGCTGATAACGCGATCTGCCAGCGCAGTACAGACAGAGCTAATTAGGTAAAAGATTCACTCCCTACCCATCTTGCTTTTCAGAGGAAAATCTAGTTTATAGTTTAGAGAAAAACTTTTATTTCAGGAGAGAGAAAATAATACACAAACAGCAACTGCCATACCATAGCATAATCAAAAGCAAATTAAGACAAACAGACACACTTAGTATTAGTGTTGTAATACAGGTGCTTTATTACAGGTGCTGTAATACTGTGTGCATTGTGGCTGCCTGACATTGTGACAGTCGATCAGCATATTGTAATCCATGAGCAATACAGTGCAGTACGGGGAGTGATCACTAGGTGGCGCTTGTTCACAGACAATCGTTCACAACATAATAGAGCACTTTTCACAGGCGATATCAGACACTTGTTCCCAGGATAATACAGCGGTTTTTGGCCTGATTCTCTACCCTCCCAGAGCCCTCTCTCCCTCCCCTAGAAGGTTGCAGATCAGCAGAACAGTGAGTGCACAGTGGATTTTATATGCCAGTTAGATGAGAGTCCTGGTTAGTTGAATACCGGATAACAGAGAGTTTACTATATATATACATCCATATAATTTGATACATCCATCAAACTCAAAATTAATTTCTCAGTACACAGTGTTTTTTCTGGATTGTGCCATAACAGTCAGCAATGGCTCACTCAGTTCTTCTGTATACAGAAAACCCACAGACAGGTACAGCTACCTCCATAATTCCAGCTTCCATCCTAATCACACTAAACAGGGTGTCATCTACAGCCAGGGCCAGCCTTAGGTCTTTAGGCGCCCTGTGCGAGAAAGCTTTACAGCACCCCCTAGTGACCACGTGCCTCCGTAACCACGCCCCTCAGTAACCACACCCCTCAGTAACCACACCCTTTCCGTGGCCACACCCATTTCTCCAATACCGGCTCCCTTTAAAGCCTTCCATTCCGTTAAGTCCCCAAAAAACAGATTACAAGCTATGATAAAAATACACATGGTATAACGCCACCTACACTGTAAATCATGTGGTATAATAACGCCACCTATACTGTAAATCACACGGTATAACGCCACCTATACTGTAAATCACACGGTATAATAACGCCACCTATACTGTAAATCACGCCGTATAATAACGCCGCCTACACTGTAAATCACACGGTATAATAACGCCACCTACACTGTAAATCACACGGTATAATAACGCCACCTATACTGTAAATCACACGGTATAATAACGCCACCTACACTGTAAATCACAAGGTATAATAACGCCACCTACACTGTAAATCACGCGGTATAATAACGCCACCTATACTGTAAATCACGCGGTATAATAACGCCACCTATCATGTAAATCACGCGGTATAATAACGCAACCTATACTGTAAATCACACGGTATAATAACGCCCCCTATACTGTAAATCACACGGTATAATAACGCCACCTATACTGTAAATCACGTGGTATAATAACGCCACCTATACTTCAAATCACACGGTATAATAACGCCACATATAAAGTAAATCACACGGTATAATAACACCACATATAAAGTAAATCACATGGTATAATAACACCACCTATACTGTAAATCACACGGTATAATAACGCCACTTATACTGTAAATCACGCGGTATAATAACGCCACCTATACTGTAAATCACACGGTATAATAACGCCACCTATACTGTAAATCACATGGTATAATAACGCCACCTATACTTC